CTTTTAATTATTCCCTAATGATGATAATAATGATAATAACTAGTTTTATTACGTTTCAATAACCGCTCTTTAACGAACCACTATAAACAAATTTTGGAACTGACAGGATAGACAAAAAAAAAAAATTGGAAAAACTTTTCCAACGTTTCAATTATTTTTCAAGAGGATTAAATTAACTATTTTCCTTCGATAGAGAGAGAGAGAGAGAGAGAGAGAGAGAGAGAAAATCGAGTGTAAATTTTCTCGGTTGTTTTCCAAAAACTTAATGTAAATTGCTGTCGGATAAACATAAAAAACAAAAAAAAAAATTTAAATAATTTTATCATGATAAACTACCCTTTGAGGCATCAATTTTCTTTTATTCTCATCAATTTTATTCACTCATTCTTTAACAACAATAACCGGGAAACAAAAATTTTTTTGAAATTTATTTTATAATAATAATAATAATAATAATAATAATAATAATAATAATAATAATAATAATAATAATAATAATAAGTCCCTAAGGAATCGGGTAGAAACCTGGGATAAATGCTTAATAAAAACCCCGACAAATAAGAGCCTTGTCGTGTTTAAGAGTGATAATAATAATAATATTAATAATAATAATAATAATAATAATAATAATAATAATAATAATAATAATAATAATAATAATAATAATAATGATTCAAATGACGACGACGACGACGTCTGCAAATCTATAAGATTATTACCAAAAAAAAAAATGGGATGATAAAATTAAACGACATTCAATTTTTCGAAAAACGAAAATCACGTTCGATTTCTTACGTCACACTCACTCACGCACTCACGCACGCACATAATGATAATAATAATGATAATGTTACGACATTCGATTAAATTTTGACGACTACGACGACGGTAACGAAAATCGAATCAAACTCATTTAAAAAAAAAAAAAAAAAAACGAGAAAAATTCTATTATTATTATCATTATCATTATTATTATTTTTTTTTTTAAAATTTCAACGGTCGTCGTCAATTGACTGACGAACGTCCGCCATTATCATTATTTCCGTTAGTAGAGTCCGTTGTAACAAAAATAAATAAATAAATAAATAAATTGTTTGAAATCAATTAACGATAATTAAACAATTAACGAAAAACAAAAAAAAAAACAGGAAATTAATTAATAATTAAATCAAAATTTTTTTTCTGTTCAAAATGGCGGCGAACGCATTATTATCATCATCATCATCGTTTCGTATAAAAAAAATAATAATAATAATAAATAAATGTAACGTCAATTCGACAAACGTCAATTTTTTTTTGCAAAGATCATAACTTTATAGTACGAAGAATTTCATTCATTTGACGACTACGATAATAATAATAATAATAATAATAATAATGATGATGATGATGATGATGATGATGACGATGACGGTGATGATAATGATGACGAGTTTAATTTTTTTTTTT